TTTGTTTTTTTTTTTTTAAATCACAGATTGCCTACAATTGCTTAAGTTGCATTTGGATAGGGATAAATATGCCATAGACCACGTCTGTGTCATCCATCTTGCTCATGATACTCAGATGGAAAAACTGCCTCTTACAGCTAGAATCAACTCCGCTCATCTGGGATCGAGATAAGCCACAGACCTTTATACCCAAAGGATGGCCATGGAGGAGCCGGCACTCTGGTAAAGGCAGAAAGTACTCTGGGAACCCGCAGCGGCGGGGGGAAGCGCGTACGTCGCTGTGCTCCTGCAGGTGAATCTGGAATTCAATGGCAAGAGAAGGCAGCGATGACACGCAGAGGAGACACGGCTCGTCTTCCTCCAGGGAGCACATGCAGCGTAGAGGTTTTCCCCCAGGGAGCATCTCCACTGAGAATCCCCAGGTCTCTCCTTCAAACAGGCAGTGGGTGACGGCAATAAACACACCACGGACGGACGGACGGACGCGCAGTCACCCCTCACAGGTCTGCTCACCCAGTAACAGCCCCCGGCCTTCCTGCCCAAATGGCCAGGAACTCATTGTCAACAGACTTTTGAAGCAGTTATCTATAATTGGCTTCCACACAATGTGTGTTTACTTTGTAAAATCAAATTCATGCTTAGAACTCGGAGCAAAACACAGAGGGCCCACGGAAAAACCTCGCTGCGTACACGACAGACAAACAACGGCCAGCAGTTCTACAAGGAAGAAGTACAATGGCTATTTTGTGTACTGCTTGCTTAGAGCTACATTAACATCATAACCAAAGCTCTTTTTGTTCTTACTATTTTTGTCAAAAGAAGAGGAAATAGTTTACTGCTAGAAGAATAAAGGCAGGGCCATAAATACTTACCATGCATCGTAGTTACAAAACCCAGTATCTCCCCTTCTTAGAGCAGATGATGATCCTTCTTATAGCTCAGTAATGCAAATGTCTAAGTATTCCTCAAACCCGCCTTTTTCTGAGCAAGACAGAGGTTTACCATTGCCGATTACAATCTCAAGTTGAAAGCATGCTGGAGGAGAGGAGGAGACTAGAGTCAGGAGAAATCTCGGCTGCAGTTTTGCTAAAACCCAGTCAGGAATGGGAGAATAAAGTAGAATTTGTCAAGAGCGCACTCTTGTTCTTCTGTTCAAGGCATGTGTTTTTCACAGCTTCTGCTGTAAAACATTTTGATCAAAACTATGGTTTTGGTGGATGAAGTGGTGAGTAAGTCTTTCAGAGCCACTCCCTATTTGAGGAGGATTTTGTTAGCAACTGCCGGAGCAAATCCCCACTCACAGCAACAGCTGTGAACCCTGCCGAGGGCATCTGCTGGGTAGTTAATACTCGTTGGGAAGTATCTCAAAGTGTGGTTTGGAATTCCTACGCTTTTTAACAGTGTTCAAGACATCACGCCTCCTGTCTGCTGACACACAATGTTCAATCCGTGTTGTCTTTGTTCACCTGTACTGGTTTTCCTCCCTACAGGGGCCTAACGTACCAAAGGGCTTTTTTGACTGCCTTCAAGTTTCAGTTGAGTTATAACAGCCTAGATACAGAAAGGTTATCAAACGAAGCATCGTCAGAGAGCGCTGGCCCAACTCTTTCCTTTCTAGCCAGCAAAAATAAGGAGAAAGTCCACGGAAGCTAAAATTCAAATGGATGTTGGAGTAAGCAGGACATACGATAGCTTCTGCAGCAGCAGCGAGAGCAGAGACTGTACTTCTTAGGCCT